GGGAAAGGAAAAGAAAGATTCATTATGAGCTACATTACAGTCCAAAATTTGTATTTATTAAAAAATAAAAAAATAAACATAAAAAACACCAATAAAAGCATTCCGTATGTACAACAAGCTGAACTCATAAAGATTATAATTCACTACATGATGGATACTATAAAAAGTAACATTCTAGAAAAAATTACCTAAAAGTACGATTTCTTCAAACCAGAACTCTAGATCACCCACAATAATCAAACATACACGTATATAGGCTAGCTTAGTTTTAAAGGGTTTCCCTCTTTGAAAACAGAAGATTTTTGTACAGCCAAGTTTTTTTTGGTACTCTATATAAGATTGAAGTACTGGTCATTAGTCATAATACAAATAATCACACAACAAATTTCATACCCACAAATAAAAAAAAATTAAAAAACTAGATGGAATTTTGACTGCGCGCAGTCGAAAATGATGCCTCCGCCATAGAGCAATTTAAACAAGTTTGGAGTTTAAATCTCCAGTGGTTCTTGAGATATCATGATAACAATCTCAATGTATGGAATTTCATAAGTTGACCTCTGTGGCCCTTGACCTTTGACATACGTGCTCCAAAATCTAATCAGATCGTCTTCCTATGGTGATACATACTATCCTTAAGTTTGAAGTTTAAATCTCAAATGGTTCTTGAGATATCGCGCTAACAAACTCAATACAAGGAATTTCATAAGTTGACCTCTGTGACCTGTGACCTTTGACCTACGTACTCCAAAATCTAATCAGATCGTCTTCCTATGGTGATAAATACTATTCCTGAGTCTTAAGTTTAAATCTTAAATGGTTCTTGAGATATTGTGATAACGGTCAAACGGGACGGACGTACGGACGGACGTACGGTACGACGTACGGACGGACAACCCGAAAACATGATGCCTCCGGCACCACCTTCGGTGGCGGAGGCATAAAAACACCAATAAAAACTTTCCGTATGTACAACAAGTGTATATTAATTGTATCTACATGTAGCTATTTATTCTAAAAAAAATAATCAAGTTTACCATATTAGATGAGCTACATTACAGACACAAGATATGTATGAAAAAGGAGGGGGAAAAAAATCAAGGAAAAAAATACTGTATATACAAGTGTACATTAATTGTAACTAGCTATTCATTCCCAAAAGAATATTACATTCAACCTGATTAGACTAACATACATATCGCAAATACATTGTGGTATTTCTTTGTTAATAAAGATTGAAATGTTTAAATGATCAAATCTTGTTCCCCACCCTCTTCGACCCATGACCTTTAACTCTCTACAGCCCTGTAGCAATGGCTTTGCATAATGATTTTTGATTGAGATGGTAAAAAAAAGGCTGAAGTTACAAGGATAAGGTAGTAGAGCTTAACTTACGAATAAGGCGAGGCAGGCACTCCAACAATGAATATATGATTCTTCTTCATAAACAGTCTCCACAGAGCTTTGTGGAAACCACGGGCATCTAGGTCCCATATATGGAAGCACTGAAAAGATACAGCAATATTGATATGATATTCATATGACAATGACTTCAAGGTGCGTGATGAGAACAAAAAGGAGAGCTTAATTCTAATCACTTAATATCCTCTAAGTTATTGTATTTCTTCATATAAACACACCCCTAATAATAACTTTGTCTTCTATTGTACAGCAATGTGCCTGCTCAAATGAAAAATTACAATTGATTTCAAAGTTATTATTTGACCAAGTAAAATACAATGACATTCAAGTTGCCAAGAAGGGCACAGGAGCAAAGTATTACATCATACATGTACAATAGTAAAAGGCAAACATGTAAATACTTAAGTTCAATTAAAAAAAAAAAAAATGTTTTATACATATTGTTTTAAATGAAGAGCAGAAAAAGCTGTGTAATTCAGGCTTAAATTGTTACATTGGCATAACAAATACAGTCAAACCTGCTTTAACGACCACCTGTATAGAAAAACCTCAAAAACCACATTTGTTGTTTCCCTTGAAAACGGTTTCTCATTAAAACATGTACTAAAGGAACCTCTACATAAAAACCATCTGCCTTTAAAGACCACTTTTCTTGTATCCCTTGGTGGTCTTTATGGTCAGGTTTCACTGTACCATCTTAAAAACCCACCTTAGCTGTTGACAGCCACGTGTCAAAGTCTCTATCATTATACATGCGTATGTACATGACGTAGGTCTCCCCGCCATTGGGCGTCTCAGGGATGAAGGCCTCGTCGCACGGTGATAACCTATGATCCAGGACCTTAGCCTGGCTGATCTGACGATGCATCTCCTTCTCGTAGTTGTCCTGGGTCATCTTGCCGACGTCCTTCAGCTTGGCGTGAGGTAAAGCGTTGAAGGCCCTCTTCTTGAAATAAAGATCCTGGGGGAGAGAAGTTGTAATTATAATTATAACTTTGTTTACCCAGGGAGGCCTCATCAGCAACAGTACTGCTCTTTCTGAGGGCCCTGTAATTACTGCTGGGTACCTATTTACAGCTATGTAGAGAGTGGCAAATGCGGATTAATGACTTCAAGAAGTTAGTGCCGGGCTGACAATTGAACCCTCAACCCTTGGATTGAGAACCAAGTGAATGAACCACTATAAAACGACACCTCCTTGGAAGTTAGATAAATGTATTTCACACTGTCATTGCCAAAGATCTGATAAAGCTTATAAGTAACCTTTGGGACAATGAAAAGCTTATCTTTTGCATTGAAATTCAAAATGAGTTTGTGAAGTTTTTTTGGGCTCCCAACACTTAAAGCCCCACTGTTCTACTTGTGGCTACTTGCTCCCTCTATATAGAAAACTTCCCCAATTGGTGCCTGTTGGTCCCCCATGATCCTCTTTTTCTTATGTTAGTTGAGAGCCGAGTTAATGAGATAGCCACCTGTCAGTGACCTGGCTGGGTGGTCTAATCCCTTCTGGCCCAGTAGCATTGACGGTTTTTAAGAGAGGCTTTAACATTGGAACCTTTACTCGGTAATCAACATCTGAAATCTTCAACACACCTGGAAATAGCTGTTCATATTGACTCCCTTGGCACCAAAGTGATACGTCCTGGAAACGTCCGGTATGATGCACTCTCGTCCTTGCATGTTCTCCGGTAATCGCAACCACATATCCCAATCCCATAGCTGAAACGGAGAAGAAATGGAAAGAGAAAAAGGTGATAATCAGACTCGTGATGATCATACCTTGGACTGCATCTAAGTTGTGGCTACATGTGTGACCCAGGAGGCACAGACTAAGCAACAGTGATGCTTGGATCTGCAAAGTATGTTGAAAGCTTAGTCTGCAAGTCTTGTTTAGGCCTGTGCAGCCATTCCAAGATACATGATTGATACGTGTATGAAGACGTTATTCTCATTATCGAGGGACAGGGACCAGTGGCTGCATGAATAACCCTAATAACTGTTGCACTCAAGTACTATTTCCACCTTTGCTAATGTGCATTTATGATATTTTGTATTTATGTTGTATCTTTTTTTAAATCAATGTAGGTCCATTATCAGGACCATAATGTAAAACATCTTTTGCTGATCACGTTTTATATAACTCATGAGCCTGCGGAGGTGAACCGCCCAAACGCCAATAATTCAATGCAATGACTGAACAGATCATTTGCATTTTTCTGGTTATGGTTCAGTCTCATAGTCACTTGGCTCAACAATGACCACACAAGTCACTGATGCAGTCTTTCATCTGCAAAAGTAATGTCTTGTGAGCAGAATGGGCCTAAAGGAGGATGAATGGGATCCTTCTCATCTAAGAATCTTGTGACTTTTGCAAATGGCCCAGATTTGCAAATATCTCGCTCTACAAAATTAATGAATCCCAAAATTTAAATTCATCAAAATGGGAATATTTTGTACCTCAAAAACTGGAGCCATTATTAACAATATGTGAAAGTTTAGAGGACAAGTACAGAAGATGATGAGGTTGATGCTCCTATAATACTAAGGCATAAAATCCTATAAGCCTAGATAATCACAGTGTTGTTGACAAGATAATCTGGATACATATAATGCCTATAATCCTAATGGAACATGCAATCCTTTAATCCTATTGTAATAATGAGTACACTCCAAAGCATATAATCCTAACAACATAATACATTATATGTAATTCTAATGTAATCACCGGTATGGAAAGACGACCTCTTTACTGAAACCGTCTTTTTTCCATGAACAGCATTAGCTCATTAAAGTATATTACATAATTATAGAATGTAACCTTTTCAGGAGTAGGCCATCTTGGTTCCAGCTCATTTGTATAGAGACTTCTCCATAAGATCCAGCAGAGTCCAGGCATGGTTCTATCCTATAGAGCAGACGGAGTCACTTTTGGTGTGAGTACAGCCCCCCCCCCCCCCCTGCTTATAGAACCATTTTTCACATTTTTGGACAAAATATTCAAATACAATGTAGAACGTCAGACATCTTACCTTTTCTGGTGTCGGCCATTTTGCTTCCAGCTCATTTTTATAGAGACTTCTCCTCAGCATCCAGCCGAGCCCAGGCATGGTTTCTATCCTATACAGCAGGGAGGGGTCATTACTGGTGTGCTCGTACCCCTGGTCGTTCCAAGCAGACACGCATAGCACTGTGCTGTCCTCCTCGAGGATCGGAAGTGTTTGGCTGAAGTAACTGTGAAGGGGAAAAGAGAGGAAAAGGCAATTGAGCAATTTGATAAAGAATAGATACACGTAAGAACAAGAGTTATTGACTCAGGGGAGTGTTTCACAAAGACTAAGATCGACTTCAAGTTGGACTTAAATATGGCAGGACATTCATGCCAATGGTTGCTCCCACCATTGGTCTCTCAATTATGATCTTTAGATAATATTTTTTCCTTCAACAATGAACAATCAAAAAAGCTGAATCCTGTAGATGTGTGACCATGATTTGTACGTCCCTTGAGAGACTACTGCCAGGAAATGGTGAGAGCAAACAGTGGCATGAACGGCCATATTCAAGTCCAACTTAAAGTCGATCTTAGTCTTTGTGGAACACTCCCCTGATCTTGGATTGATCTTAAATAAAGAGGGAACATGTATATGATGAAGACATTATGAAATTCATCATGCATGAAGTTTCTTTCACTCACTTTTCCTTTTTTTTTTTTTCTTTGGTCCTGACAATCTACTGCTCTCTTTCTCAGGCTTTCTGTCTAGTGTCTCTGACTCTCATACTGCTCACATACTGGTTTCCTCCATCCTACTTTCTTTCTACCCCACCTTGTTCTTTCTCTATCTCTCTCTCTTTCTCTTACCCCGACCTAATCTCTCCCCAATCTCGTTCTTTGAATATATCTCTCTCTTTCTCTCTCTCTCACCCCAACTGAATCTCTCCCCATCTCCCCCACCTCGTTCTTTATCTCTCTGTCTCTCTCTCTGTATCTCTTTCTCTTACCCCCACTAAATCTCTCCCCATCTCATTCTTTATATATATATATTTTTTATATATATATATATATATATATATATATATATATATATCTGTCTCTCTCTCTGTATCTCTTTCTCTTACCCCAACTAAATCTCTCCCCCATCTCCCCTCCCTGATGATCCATCGCCACATGGAGTCAGCTTACCTAAAGAAATCTTCTGAGACATCTAAATCTTCTTCCAGCATTATGGCGTACTGCGCTCTCTGTAAAGACGACAAGAAAAACAAACGGATAAAAAATGCATGCATGTATCTTATTCTCTCCCCTAAATCTATCAGGGAATAAATTGTGTCTCCCGGATTTCCCCTCATTATTTTTTCAGACAATCACGATAAATGCTAGAGGGATTCAGTGGCAGAATTCTAGACTCTCATGAATTCATTAAAAACATTGTCATGTTTAATTCCGCTCTTCCTCCTATCTCTGATTTCATGGCTACTGCTGCCTCACTGAAATTTATTTCCAACATATCATGTACAGCTATTAAGTAAATTATTTAAACCCCTTTTAAATTTGATGTTATACGTGTTTTTTCGCAACTCAAGATTGAAAGGTGGAATAAATAAATCAGGGCCTTCGTTGAATACTATTAAATGTAAGCTTTAATAAGTAACATTATCAAGAAACATAAATCGGGACAAGTCATTTTTCATATACTTGAAAATGACAAAACAAGGGTATGAATAATCCATTTGTTAAAGATATAGACTGGTAGAATATCCATTCAATATCGTTTAAATATTGCCTTTAGAGGTTTAGATGGCAATACTTCAACCAAAATTTGCAAAAAAACAGAAATATATGCCCACATGTTCAATGTTGAAGTGCATTCGCGATATCTTTCCAGGCCGGATCGATATGATATGATATGATAATTTACCAAATATATAATTAGTAGGCGGTTTCCCCGGCAAAATTTGTATTCTCACGTATTAGTCAAAACATATTCTTTCACATGGTTGGTACTAAGAGCTTCCATTTCATTTTTTGAGAGGGGGGCGTTTCCAAAACTGGTCTTCACCTTTAACTGTATACCTCATTACTCTCCAGAGCAAAGAAATTAACCATTTTCACTACCGATACTTACAGGAAACATATTGAAGGTAGCGGTCAAGCTGGCCTTGTAGTGCTGAGATATCCTTGCATTCTTGACCCCTAAGGGGGTGTGCTGTATCCCCTTCAGACCAAAGAGCTTGACCACTTCCAGAGGTTCCTCAAAGTAGCCGTCGATAAACACCACGATCATCTCAGGATTGACTGAAGTAGGGAAAAATATTTGAATTGATTTGATTTGATTTGATTTGATTTATTGATTTTTATATCATATTTTATATATATTTTACGTATATTATATCATATTTTATCATATTTTACGTTTCAAAGTACAATACATGATACAAAATACATGGGAGATGTGAGTTTGTCTAGCGGACTTTTAACTTGGTCAGCTCAGACGACCCAGGTTTGAAACCGAGTCACGTCTTTCAGATGGTGACGTTAAACATCTTGAAGATTAAATGCACCATAGCTGAAGGATTAGCAATGGTGCACAAGGGATAACATAAAATTGATCCACTTAAAAGAAAGAAATTTAAAAAAGGTTTAAACTACCTGTACATGTTGTATCTCTTGTCAAAATCAGGCAAAAATAAATCATAATAAAAATGATTATTTCATATGTAAGACCCTGGAAAATAGGGCCCCCTCAAAATTTTGTATACTCATCGCATATTTTACACAACAGTATCTTAAAGGTAAAGACCAGTTATGGTCATGCGATTGCATTGTGAAAGAAACGTTGTGGAATCGATCAGAAAAGGTTGATCATCTAGCATCTAGCATCTGCAAGGTTCTGGAATCATCAAAATGATAAGAAATTTGGCCCATTCTTTGTAAAGTTACAAGCACTATACACAGAAAGATGTATATGGGACTACCCTATATCTCTCACAGACCATGAGAGAAACAAATTTACTAAATATATGAATTAGTAGGTGGTTTCCCGGCAAATTTTTTATCATCATGTATAAGTCAAAACATATTCTTTCACATGATTGGTAATGAGAGCTTCCATTTCATTTTTTGAAATTGGGGCGTTTCCAATACTGGTCTTTACCTTTAAAAAGTTTGTACACTCTACACGGCTTGCTGCAATGGTGCAATAACCCCAACTCCTGTTTCCAAGAAGAGGTGACCCGTATTGTGCCCTCTCCCAAAAATGAAACTAAAACAAAGGCGTTGGTCAGTGGTTCCTGCCTAATAATCGTATCAGTTCTATACATGATGCTTCACAGTGAACACATATCCTGACTAGCCTCTTCCATTTCATTTCAGAATTTAAACCATTTACCCCCGGACCGGGGTAACACATATATTACATTACATTACAAAGTTGAGGTATTGATAAACTAAATTTGAGCATTTCAACTCACCTCCCTGTGCCGATAGAAGAGTACTAAGCATACGATAGAGATAGTTGGGTCGATTACTGGCTACTACGATGACAGGCACATTGAAGACACGGTTATTGATGAGCTGTGAGGGGGTAAATCATCAGTGATAAAAAATCAAGCATAAAGAAGAAAAGAAAAACTTGTAAAAATGTATTATAATAATAACTATTAAGAGTGATACAAAATATGATTTCCTAGTATACATGTATGTACCATCTCAAAGATTTGGAATTTGTTAGTAAAAGAATAGATATTGTTTGCGGATTATAAGCTTTAAAGGGATCGTTTAACAATGTTAAATCTGAGATACACGGTCCTACATGTTACCAGTGTCTGTGATATGGTGTAATATTAAAGCCCTAAAAAAATCGCGCTTCAAAATGATCAAGAAGTGCCTCAAAAAAGTAAAAATCTTTGAGTGACCGGTTTTACCATACTTGTTTCCCCCAATAGACTGTAGTAAAATGTGCAATTCCAATCTTTAATATCTTGATAATCAGACAGGCGATCGGCTTGTAAAAGTCATGGAGTTCCTGACTGACCTAAAGGTTTATAATTATCATTGCAGCATGAGCTAAATCAAGGATTATTTCTAAAGGATCTAAGACAGAGTTACCGGATCCCTTCAAGACCTCACAATATCTGTTTTAGAGAGACTGAAAAATCTCAAGATTTGGGAATCCTTTGTTCTCAAAGTTCTTCAACATCCTCCTAATTCTACATGTATTTCCCATACCATACAAGGGAAAATGAAACTCTTGTTGAGATGTAATAGATTGAAGTAATCATACTTTTAAAAAAAGACAAGGTATCAAGGTATATACACTAGTTAATCATTATTCAGTAATTTATCATACATTAAAGTTAAGTCGTGTACCTGTTCGGGGTTCATCTCGATGGGGGCAGGGTCCTCACAGCTACACAGACTGCCATACCCCTCCACCCTAGCACAGAACTCTCTTCTCCTTATATTGGCCTCCGTCTCAGGCCACTGGCACTCGCTTTCTGCAAATGAAAACGAGAGAAAAAGAGGTCAAATATACATGTTTACAGCAAGAAGAACTAAATAATCCTGGCTTTTTTTAGGCTTGTCTCTGTTTGTTTGCATTTAAAGTGGTTTCTTTCAGTACTTCTTGAGCTTTTTTAAAATGACACTGGAACTAAAATGTTTCATGCATTAGAAATTCCTTGGAAGATAGTCTTTAAGCTTTAGATTTTTTTTTACTGACACATAAAATGGAATGAAAATCATAAATCTTGATTGGTTTTCAACATCAACTGTTGAAACATAAACTGTTTTTAATTGTTATTTTGCTGCTTATTATGGATACTTAAGTCCCCCCCCCCCCCCACCTCTCTCTCTCTCTCTCTCTCTCTCTCTCTCTCTCTCTCTTCAGTTTTCAATTTCCTCTCCTTCCAATTCTTCTCTTTACATTCTATTCTTTTTTCTCATCTCTGAAATCCAACTTTGTCATTTCAGTTTTGTTCCCAATGCCTGCCAACTTCTACATTTCTGTTGCTTGTTGTTGTTGTTGTTATCTTCCATCTTTTAGATTCTTCCCTTCTCCGTTCCATTCACTTTCTAAAGTCTCCATTCCCCTTTTCTCTTTTTCCCCCCTTAACTTCATTTTTTTTCTCAACTCACCTTCCTTTGATGAGAGAGGCACAGTAGCCTTCAGTAAGACTGGTGACCCCCAGCTAGAGAGGTCTGGAGCTTTATGAAGCTGCTCTGCAAATGCTTGACCTGTGGGAAACGAGAGGAAAATGGGATACCAGTCTTCAATGAAGATGCACAGTGGCAATACTAGGAGACATGTACATTTTATGTTTACTGCTCTTTAAAAAAGAGGGAGAAAGAAAAAGAGAGAGAGAGAGAGAGAGAGAGAGCGAAGAGAAAAGGGGGAGGGGGGGGGGGGGAGAGGGAAACACCAGAAATGTGAAGAAACCTGAAATGTGGTGACAGAGGATTAAAGAATCTGAGACCACCAAATGAGCTATAAACATTCATTACTTGAAACACATTTCATTTAAAAGGTCCATTCAACTAAAAACAGAATTGAATTAAAGATCAGTGGAGCCGAGAACCTAATTATCATACTAATCAAGGTTGCCCTAGAAATTTAGAATAGAGGCTAATAACCTATTACTATCAGACCCCTGAATTTGCAAGCCGGTGAGAAATGACTCAATGTACATCTAATGACCAGTGTGGACAGACTATGGTCAAATAAAGGTCATTTGTGCACAACTAGAAAAGCCCATCAAGAAGAATACCGGATAAAAAAAGTTATGTAATCATTATTGAATTCATTTATGCACCGGTGAGACATGTACATTCTATTATATACATAGGTGAAGTATTCCTTTTCAAGAGAGCAAACAACAGGTTTTCATGAAGCTCACTTTGGCAATGATTATTCTAAAATGCAAAGAGTGGGACTTCTCCATCTTTAAAAGATCTGTGAGTATATTTGTGGGTCATTTGCATATATGCCGTCTTGTAACTAGTCCATTTCTAGCAAAAACACTTTCTCCATCTACAAAAACCCCCAAAGAAACCTCTTATACTTAAACAAACAAATCATTATGAAAAATACTAATGGGATAAGGCAATAAAAGATAATGTGTGTGGAAGGAAATTAGCAGACATCATGCCGAGCCAAAGAGCAAACTGGTCACCAATGCAATTATAGCATTCATGACATGTGTCAATTTATATTGAAGAATCAATTAAGATTTGATTAGAAAGAGCAATTAGGGGTCTTACGAGGGGCGTAGATTTAATTGATCAACGACTAGAGGGGGTATGGCAAGTCGGTAGGCTTGTTTTGGAATTGAAATGATAAAACGAAAATACAATTATGAATTAGATGACTACACAAAATGTTATTCTGATTTTTTTTCTTCAATTTTAATTGATAAATATGAACTTTTAAACGTTAAAAATAGGATCTTTCAAAAGATGGATTAGATCATCTCTAAATATTAAATATAGCCTTACAAGTTGGAAAAGACTTCCATGTTTCCACTATTTGAAAATGTAAATTTTTCTACTAAACATATCAACAAATTTCTGAGACAGACAGACAGGCAGGCAAACAGAGACATATACAGAGACAAGTAGAGAGAAAGAAAGAGAGGGAGAGGGAGAGGGAGAGAGGGAGAGGGAGAGAGAGAGAGAGAGAGAGAGAGAGAGACAAAGACAGAGAGAGACAGAAAAAAAGAGACAGAGGGAAATAGGAGAGGGTGGGGGAGGCATACATACAGAGAACTAAAAAGGCAGAGAGATAAGGAGACAGATAGACTGAGACTGAGAGAAAAGAAAGAAAGACAGACAGTGAGAAAAAGAAGGAGGAAAACAAAATTAGATGGTGCTCACAGACAACTACAAAAGTAGAAAGAAACATGAACAAAATATCTGCGATTCATTCTGAATACAAACTAGTAACTTTCCAATCATAAACATTTCAGAAAAACAATTAGATGCCCAATGGCCTAATTGAGCAGCAAGTAAGACTCTGATTCTGCATCGAAATGCAAGCATTACGACAAAATTAATTGAAATGGCCTCAAACTCTGATATCAATTAATGACATTATTAAATACCAGGCAAAATGAAGTCCAAACGCTGACAATTTGAAATGTAAATATTTTGCAGGCTTGTGCTGGGGTAGGCAGTCAGGATGTCTGAGATAGCGTATCAGGAATTCTGTCGTTGTTTTTGGAGTGATTGATCAGAATGGAACCGAGTCATCAATTTAAAATGATAACGGCATCAATGTGAAGTTTACTTGGTGCTTGTTTTACAATGAAGTAGATAGAGACAGTTGAGGAGTTGGATGGAAGCCATGATTTAAAGATACTAAGTCCATTTTGCAGCCAACATCAAATTCTGTAGAACATTGCAGGAATTATGAATATGTAATGTATGTCCTATCTGCGAAAATTAAACTTTAGCAGTGTCCTAATATTCAAATTATGCAAGGAAACCCGTTTACTTGCTAGACTTCACTGTCAGACACTATTGAGTAACTGACTGGCCTTTTTCCTTCTTTGGGAACATACATAAAGTGAGCTGTAAATGGTACATGAGCATTTGTCTACATCATTAACCCACTTCTTGTAATGGCCCAAATAAACTGATTGGATCTTTGTGCAGCACTTAAGTCTATTTGAGAACTAATAGTGGTTCTAAATTAGTATTATCTTTCAAATGCCGTTGGAATTTTAACCTTTGCGTTTTGGGGGCCTGCAAATGGGACATAGTACCTTTAAGAAACAGACACAAGCTTTGTCGAGAAATTCATCTAAAGAATTCAACGGAGAACAATTGCCCTTAGGGTCACCAGGAGTCTAACCAACAATGCCATCACTCCATTTGATTTCATCATTCGTATGTTTAGTCTACATCATGAATTATAGCGAGACATTGAACTACGATACATGAGCTTGAATCAAAATTTGCAGACAAAGGATGATTCACAAATTCACCAAAGCTCCTCAAACAAGGATTGTATAAAATTCTAAAATATGAATTTCATGCAAGCACGTGATTCCTGGAACCTGAAGATCTCAGATGTTACAATAAAATGTCTCAACAAATTTGTTTTTCGTTTTTTTTCTCCACTTTGGATTAAAGCAACATTATAATATTATGCGTTGCCTTTAAGTTATTGACTGAGGAATGGCTTGAAAAATTATCTTCAAAATAATTGATAATCAATGAATCATAGACATTACCCTTTCCTATTTTTCTTGTTACCTAATTTTCTCATTTTACTACATCTAAATGAAAAATCCATATTTAATCTAAATGTATTTGGAACAACTGTTGATATATATTGTCTTACAAACTACATAATTCTTTCTTGTTTAAATCCATGTTTTAACCAGACATATTTCATTTAATGGGAACTCAACAAATGACTTAAATGTTACTAACGTCATTTCCAAAGATCAATATTGTAGTGTAATTAACAAAACGACAGCTGTTGCCGAGTTTTTGAGTGGTATTGGTCGGTTAGGAAAATTTGCTTTAATAAAATGAAATTTTGAGGAAGTCTAGAGAAAGATGAATCGTTTTGCAACCTATTTCTCTCGATTATTTAAATGTCTAGGCTCACAGTTGCCATTTAATAGGCTATCTGACTTTTTCCCCTGATATCTGACACTTTAACAACACCATTAAACTGTCTCAAACAGTCACTATGACACATAATTCACCATTCCCAGCCAACAGACTTACAGAAATTTGAGAATTATCTTTTAATATTTCGCTTGTGGGCATAAATCTCAAAATTCCTTGTTTTCTCCTTATATTCTGCTCAAAGATGATGCATAAAAAAAATATGTGAAATGTACTTCCCTGACAGAGCGTCGACCCTGCCCCACATTTGTATGAATTATCAATGGTCATAAATAATAAATTTGTCCAGAAAGAAAACTTTTGTATTAATCATTTTGGGATGAAAGGCATCTTTGAGTCAGAGATATTATTGTTTTCCTATTTTGTTCCTTCCTATTACATTAAAAAAAAAGCCATTTAGATACTTTTCTTTCTTTTGTTGTACTTTTGTCTTGGTTTTTGTCTACATTTCAATGATGTATCTTGTTATTATCCTACTACTTTTCACTTTTTCATAACTTTGTTTCTTTCTCTTCTTTCTTCAAATACATATTGCTTTTCAAAATGGTGTTAAAAGTAAAGACCAGTATTGGAAATGCCCCAATTTCAAAAATGAAATGGAAGCTCTCATTACCAATCATGTGAAAGAATATGTTTTGACTAATACATGATGATAAAAAATTTGCCGGGAAACCGCCTACTAATTCATATATTTGGTAAATTGTTTCTCTCATGGTCTGTGAGAGATATAGGGTAGTCCCATATACATCTTTCTGTGTATAGTGCTTGTAACTTTACAAAGAAAGGGCCAAATTTCTTATCATTTTGATGATTCCAGAACCTTGCAGATGCTAGATGCTAGATGATCAACCTTTTCTGATCGATTCCACAACGTTTCTTTCACAATGCAATCGCATGACCATAACTGGTCTTTACCTTTAATACAGTTTTTTTAAAACCAAACATACCTCGTAAAGTTTTACTGGGCTGACTTAAATGATAAATAAATAATAGATACAAATTGCAATCATGAAGCAGGTACAAATAGTACGATCGTCCACGTATGTTTGAATTGAATGTTATGAAGAGACTGTAAATATACACTCCTCAAGTAATAAACATATTTAGCCATTCATATCTTACTCTGTGTTTTCATTCCATGTGATAACCCATATATATCCCTACTAGGATGCTTTCATACTACACAGTTTGTTTCTGAACCATTCATATCTTACCATGTTTGTTTTTGTTTAGTGTAAATAAGGCCTGTGTATCTCTCCATCCTAAACTCAGAAGTATTCACATTACAACGGTTCTTCATTAACCGCTCGCTCTCTCTCTCTCTCTCACACAGCCTCTCTCTCTCTCTCTCTCTGTCTCTCTCTCATAGCCTCTCTCTGTGTTGTAACTTGGGTTCTTTTAGACCACCAATATTTTGTATTAACCATTCCTATCTTTAATATGTCTGTATTTTTGTTTGTGTTTTAATTTCATCCCTCCAATTAATTAAACAGTCACATCTTATCAAGTACGTCTTTCTTCTAATAGGCCCAATTATCCCTCAAACCTAACGCAAATATTGTTTCACACTTCAAAGATTAAAACAATTCTTTAATAACTAGCTATATCTTACCATGCCTATTTTTCTTCTGTGTGATAAAGGCCCATGTATCTCTCCATCCTAAATCAGAGGCTTTTACACTACCCAGATTCTTCAGCATCCGTTTGGCTTGCTCCTTCATCTGAAACGTGCCTTCATCCTGAAGATAACAACAAAGAAAAGAAAAATGAAATAAATAATTAGAATTTATGTATGACAAGATAAGTGAAATTGAATTGCTTTTGAAATATACCAGTTTCTTTCAAATGTTGCACAGAATACATGTAACCATGACTACCATGTCATACTTTTACTTTGGATGAAAGGTAAGTAAACAAATTTCACTATTTTTCACCACGTCAACAATTCATAGTGCTTACATTTTAGATTCCCACTGACAAAATAGTTTTTGAGCGATATTGGTCTATAATGAGATGAAAATTTTAGGAAAGCTGGAGCGAGATCAAGCTTTGGCAACCATTTCTCTCAATATAAATGTCTAGGCTTGCAGGTGCCATTAATAGGTTTTCTGGCAAAAATGTTTTTTGGTTTGTATATTAGATTAAAATGCATTTACAGAGGGGGAAACAAAAGTACATAAACAAATCTAGAAAATATCACTAATATCCACAAAAAGCATTGATTGAGGAAAAAGTGAAAGATGAAAAACATGTTGATCTTGGCACTCTATCCTGTAGAGCAGCTAATCCATTCAAACAATCTTTGTATAAGATTTTAATGCGTTTAAAGATGGGGGGGGGGGAAGGGTACATAAACAAATCTAGAAAACATCACTGATATCTCCCAAAAGCATGGATTAAGGAGAAAAAAATGAAAGATAAAAAAACGTGTCTGATCTTGGCACTCCACCTTGAAGAGCATCTAATCCATTCAAACACACCGTCTTTATAAGCCACTCTCTCCTCGGACAAATGTCACTTAATCTAATATCCACTCCATAGCACATGAACTGAAGACCTCTCATCTTGTGTTCAGACTTAGGCAAATTTATACAAACTTGTATAAAGAAACGTTGTGTATAGCGAACGGAGAGTAGAGCTAGAAAAAAAACACATCATATTTGAAAAAAATACAATTTTGAAGAGGACAATTGACATGATAGCTGGCCAATCAAGAGTGCATATAAATGGTAAACCCCACCCACTTGCACAGTTTTTGTATGATATGATGTTCGGACTAGAGCAGGACCCTGAATCTTTATTGAGCCTTTGTTCAAAATGATTTAAACATACGTTTCGTTATATGACGTTTTGCAATACCATTCGTTATACAATGTACCATGTTTCTTCATATAACATTTACACTAGAAGAATGTAATCAATTAATACAATCATCGTACTTGTAAGTAATTACTTTCATATAGTGTGAACTTTGTATGTAGAAACATAGTAACGAAAAGTATTGCAGAACGTCGTAATTCTCATAGCCTGAACGCAGGGTTACGTTCATACCCTTAATATGCATACTTGATTAGCTTTCACTACATGCAACCTTTTTACCCCCCAAAGAGACAAACATGATTTGGCCGAGCTCTTCATCTCTGAAAGGTCGACTGCACTTACAAGTCAAGAGTCGGACATGATTTTCACCTTCTCTGAAGGTCAATCAACCGAATTCCAGGTCTACGAGGAGAAGTCCGAGGACGTTAAATAAAGGTAATGATAGACTAATTCATAGGAACAGATGTTTTCAAAGAAGAGGGAGCTCTCTACTACATGTATGTGTGAAGGGAGCCACTTTAAAGATTTTAAAGGACTACAAGAATAATTTTGAGGATGTTAAATAAAGGTAATGATAGACTAATTTATAGGAAAAGATGTTTTCAAAGAAGAGGGAGCTCTCTTCTGTATGATAATGTGAAGAGGGCCACTTCAAAGATTTTAAAGTGTGGGTTAATGTTTATTGATTATTGGCCTTTATTCTGGCTCTTTTGGAATGTAGAAAAGACATATGTTAATTGTTGTAATTGCTACTATTGCAACATTTGAGCACTTGCCTAAATATACTAATCAGGTATATATCCTTGGAGCCTTGATGACATATGTACATGTATTACACGTAGTATACCCCCCCCCCCCCCCCCCCCATTTTCACCTGAAATATCTTTTATTTTTGCCCCTTCGTCCTCTTGGCCTATGCAGGTATCAAAGACCTGCGCCATGATGAATGTCTTACTAACTTATTTAACATAAAATATCACTTGAGCACCCTCTACCCTAATGTTTTACCCCTATCCTTCCTATAAAGTCTCCTGCCCTTAATCTGAACTTCAAGATTTCATACCTTAATTGCTAGGATGATGATACGTCCGTCAGAAACCATGTTGAGGAATAGGACCATGGCTTCGTCCTCGTGGCCTATGTACGTATCAAAGACCTTCCGTGCCATGATGCTTCCGGTGGCTTGGTTTAACACGATGCAGTGGATGCCTCTCCCTTTGTCCTTCTCATCGTCTTCTAAAATCTGCAAAAATCAATAAAAATAAAATTGATTAATTATTGTTCATTCATCAACTTTTTATCTAGAGTAGTAAATTTGATTTCAGGATCTTCTATATATTACGTAGCACATAATATTTAAGAATGAGAAATACATAGATCGAAGTTCCTTCTCATCGTTATTCATCATTAACAGAATCAATGTGTGGAAAAATGTTGATACAAACTTCTTGAGAACAAGTGTTACTTGTATACGTGTCACTTAAAACAGTGTTAATGACTCTGTGCTTTCCTCATATCATATGAAAAGTCTGTGGAAGACTACTGATAAATGTCCAGATTTTATAATACATGTCATATGACTACTGATTACAAATTGAATTAATCTACCGGTATAAACTATTAAATTCCCTTTTTAAAATATTTTTTATTGACATTGATGATAAACAATCTTAAAAATACACAAACAAAAGCCAATTGGTCATGCAACACTGGCCACAAAAATAAAATGATTGAATTATGAGCATTTTGATCATCACATATAATTCTCTGCACTCCCTTTAATAACATAAGGAACATCATTACTTTTGAGGCACATTTAAATCCAAAGCGGCTACAGAATATGTGCAACTGTTGCAACATGCACATTAAAAACCGAACAGTACACACAGACAAAGGAGATACTCCTAGCTCCGCCACGATTTGCTCAAGTTTCTGGCTTTCTCTCGATTTAATACCCATTGATCCGGCCGAGAGTCTTGAGTTTCGGGAACATCTGCGAGTTGGTGGTTAGCGTGGAGAGGCATGGGTATGGGTATCAATGGATTAGGGCTGTGGGACGGGCAGGCAGCATGTTCGTCATGAATATTAGAGGGCCATGTTCTTTATTTATTGATCAGGAGGAGAGAGGGCCTCTAATAGTTCCTTCCGTGTAGGCAGGAGGCTGCTAGCTGCCTACGGTTTATGTAGATGTAGATGGAGATGGAGATATTTGCAGGGTGTTGTATGGTCGTTTAGTCTCCAACCGATTTGTCTTAATACTCAGCTTTCTCTCGTGATCTCTCATCCCATTTCTATAAATCCATCTTCTGCTAGCCAATCATTTTGATATCATGATTTCACGATAATCAACCTACTTCTACATCTGATAGGCTTTTCATCCACGTGGTTGAATCCTCTGTTGGACTAATTACCATTTACCAAATATCATTTAAACTCCTTTATGTATACTTTATATCTCATGAGAAGGTGCTTTTTAATGAAATGTTATTTGTATATGACTTGTATTTCAGTAGAAACATATTCAATCTCTACCATTCACATCATATTTTTTACCAAACAAATCAATACATATCTTTCATAAATCCTTTACATACTCATAATCCTACTCCACAAGTATAGCAGAAGCTATAACTTTCCTACATCAACTCCTGCCCCAAACATCGTTCCTTACAGCATTTCGATCATGAAACTGGCAGAATGAGGCCTATGCACGGGGGTGTTACTACTACATTATAACTTCGCTTCCTAACCGTTCCGATCCCGACGCTGATACTTCAACTTAGCTACTTCAACTCCATCCCCAAACATCATTCCTTACTGCGTTTCGATCATGAAACTGGCAGAATGAGGCCTATGTACGGGGGGTGTTAATACCGCATTATAACTTCGCTTCCTAACCGTTCCGATGCCGACGGACGCTGATGACATTCCCAGATGAAGGATCCATCAGGGTCCGGGGCAAGTTAAAGCGATCAACGTTGGACGGCCGTCAGAACCGATGACACCGTTGCCAAAATTATACAACAAGATTAATCACGTCACAAGAAATCACTGCGGCTACAGCTCATTCAATGGCATCTACATACCGGTACTAGAAATAGGGCAGACAATTTCCCTGTGATGTTTTGGATGTCAGCACTGGGCAGACATAGTCTGTAGGCCTAGACTCTAATTGACACCTGAACACTATTCCATAAAGCCTTGCACTGAGCCTAACTCTGTCAGTCTCCAAGTGTGTCTGGAGCAGGTATAGTACAAAGCTCATGGGGTGCATAAGATGGTGCAGAGCATAGTCTAATAGTTCAGACACTCTGTTCTGCTTTACTGTTAACAAGGTTTTGTGCCTGCAAACTAGGGCAGACGAGTATTTGATTCTCGATGGAAGGGGTGGGGGGGGGGGGGATTGGATGAGAGCTATGTTTTGACGTTATCAATCCGAGGGCATGATTGGGGATCTTGAATAAGCACATGAGAACAGCTAGTATCATCGCCCCGTCCTCGCCACGCAACATTTCTCACACAATTTGTGCACATCCGGATCACAGGCAGGGATCAATTACATTGCTGTCAATCAATTGTAGAAGCCTTATAATATTCTTTTCTCTATGGATGCCATTTCCAGACAAAACAAAAACAAAATAAAGTCTGCAAGATGACAAATTTAGGGGCTCTTGGACCTGTGAGGCCTCTACTGTGGTTCTGGAAATCTAGGAAGGGGAGGGCGAGGGATGCCTGAGCCTCTTGTGTATTTTGAGCATTTCAATTATTCAATCAATAATTCAAACATCAGTCTCTTCTGTAATTGAATTTGATCATGAATCCTAAACAATATGTAAATTCAAAATGAACTGGAATCACAATAGATGTCAAATTGAAAATTAATCAATTGAAGAAATATGCTAAATAGTCTGCCATTCGATGTGAAATGAATGTCGTGTCCAGACTCCATATGGAACAATATTCCTTTTCAAACTTTGATATTTTGAACAAATTATTGATAATGCACCGATGTTTGCCAGAGGAAGAAAGCCAAAGGAGAAATACCAACAGCCTGTTGGGCTGGCATCCTTCCTGGTTTAGACTGAAGAATTGTAACCATGGAAACCGCATGAATTCATGTACAGGGGTTCTGAAGGTGAGCAGCATCATCGATCAGGTTTCTTTTGCATTTTGTTCACTACTCCATGTCTCTCTTGACGTTTGCTTTCCTCCGTCAATCTACAGCCTCTTTCACCATTTTCTCTTCATTTCCTGTTATTCATGTATGTCTTTGTTTAATTTCTTCATCTTCTTCGTTTTTTGGTCAGACGAATGTTTGAATGTGAGCTTTTTCTCTGCAAAATGATTTCCATCTGCTCCTAGATCTTTCAAAGTCCCTTCCGACCCCGAACCCCCCCCCCCCCACCCCCAACCTCTTTCTCTCTCTCTCTCTCCCAGTCTCCCTCCTCAGTCTGTCTCCCCTCTCCCTCTCTATCAGCGTGTCCACACACAAAACAATTTATCGCGAAACTCTATAACGATACGTCGTATAAAGAATCATCGTATAAATTCCAGGATGTCCACACACAAGAAACGTCGTCACTAAAGAATCATCGTATAAAATGCCCCCTGTCCACACACAACATTTTCCGTGATTCTTTATAGAGTTTCGCGATAGTGATAAGAGGTCTGGTCTCATTTCGCTCGAGGTCACGTTAAGCCCCGCCCAGTTAGTTACACTAGTTACACTCCCCCAGGGGGTCCCCCTGTCCACACACAACATTTCCGTGATTAGGCGTGATTCTTTATTGAGTTTCAGTTCGAAACGATGCCCAAACCTGCGTTTCGTTAGACTAGTTTCGTTATACGACGTATCGTTAGTGAGCGTCCACACCTACAATTTTGGTCGTAAAACTATCGCGAAACGGTATCACTATCGCGAAACGGTATAGCTAATCATGATTAGTCACGGAAAATGTTGTGTGTGGACAGGGGGTATGTCATCCGACTACCTCCCTTGCCTCGATCCCTACCCCTACCTCCTCCCTCACTCTTCCTTCCTTTCTCCCCTTCTCTCCTCTCCCCCTCCCTGCCCCTGACCCATCGTCATCATCATCCTCATCCTCAACCTCCTCCCTCCCTCTCGGTCCCTCTCCCTCTCGGTCCCTCCCCCTCTTTCCCTCTCTCCCCGTCTCTGTCCCTCCCTCTCTGTCCCTCCCTCTCTTTTTTCTTTTCCTCTCCGTCCCTCCCTCTCTTATTCTTTTCTTCCCCCCTCCCCCATTCTCTACACCCCCAGAAAAAAAGTCACTCTGATGAAGCCATCACATATTATCAGTCTGATCTGCTAAAGCCCAGACGGATAGTAACATACTTCCTCCCCTTCTCCTGCATGAACCATGCAGAGACATCCAGGGATAGAGATGAATGAAGCAGAGAGGTGTATACGACACATGGCACGCATCACTTAATGTTATAAATGGATGGGGTAAGAAGAAGGACTCCTGAAGATTATAGTAAAGAAGGATCATGTAGACAGAGCAGTGATTGTGAGGGATCATGTGCTGACTGCATTATGTTCACTCTTGGATTCTACATTGAAAAAAAATTTGCATTCAGAAGGAGAAAACAGTCTTGTGATTCCCAAGCCAGAGTTGCTTCAAATATAAAAGTATCACTGAACAGATTTCTGACTGCAATGCAATCTCATTCTGTACAAATTTTTCCTCAATCATTAAAAAAAACACTCCTAAAGTTGTAATCAGGATAACATATTCACAAGAAATCAAACTTCATACATGAAGATGGTTGAATTGTCAAATTAGGCCCATATTCTTTTCCCAACCCTTTTAGAAAGATGCCCTAATCCTCACATAAAATCTTGAAATTTCAATTTATCAAAGATTCATGTGAGCTTTTAAGAACTAATTTCCTCTTTGCTCTGATCATTGTAAGTGAAATAACTCAAATATTGATTGGACTGTAACTACGTGTATTGCAGCTTGGCATTTCTTCCTATTTCCTAAACAAAATTTAGAAAGAGTCTTCCAAAGCCTCAAGATCACAATATATGAAATCTGTGTATTTTGTTGGCATCACCTCATATATCTCCTCTATTTCATTATCTTCTCGAAACTTTTGGAAAAAACTTTAACCCCAAACCCAATCGTGGTATCCCTCTTGACGTCATCAAAGCTAGCCGAATACAAACACGCTCCCACCACCAACCCACGTGCCCCTCCAGCCTAGTTCTGTCGGTTTTCATTTAATGAGACCTCACGACACGCTATTGATTAAACACTTTGAATCAAAACAAAACAACAGTGTCTTCCCTCAACAAATATCAGTAAGGATCTAGGGGGTATATATACCTGCTACAATGTTTGTATTTAGTTTTATATATTTGTGTCGTGATACACTGTTGATTAAACACTTTGAATCGAAACAAAACAACAGTGTCATCCCTCAACGAATATTAGAAAGGATCTGGGGGTATATCCATTGCTGCAGTACAATGTTTGGATTTAGTTTGTAATCTTTGTGTCGCGATACGCTATTAATTAAACACCCTGCATCAAACGAAACAACTGTGTGTATCCTAATCAAAATATAAGATAAGATTTTGGCAATACCTTAGCACAGCATCCAGCCAAAGATTTTGTTTTTCTTCTCATAGAAATACTACCAGATATAAATTATTTAAACTGTCTTTCTATTTCACTCTGTCTTAATATTTACCAGATTTTTTATAAAAGTTCTCCAAAGACATCTTTTCAGAGCCAAATCACAGATAGATCAAATATACATTGATTTTTCACTAGATGGAAAGAAAATTCAAATCTTACTAGTCTGGGTGTATAAGAAAAAAATTTCAAGAAGGTATAGGTATGCAAACAATACATTCTGCAAAATTTGCCATTTAGAATTAGAAATAAAACAGCAAAACCTATGTCAAATATATGAGAAATTCACACACTTTGCTAAGAATAATGACAAACCAATAAATCTATACATGCAGACCAATGACAAATCAGTTCAGGCCTGCACATAGCCTGAGCCTGACACAGGGATCCACATCCCCATTCAATTTATGATATTCTAATAAGTAATATTCATTTTAAAACACAGCTGCCCTTTTGAGCAAGTGTGAAGCGAGCAATAATAAATACAATTCCCTTTCTTAAATCATCATCTTTCCGCTACCACCAAACCCTTCACCCTCTTGTAATGGCCTGAAGTGGAGAGAGCGGCAAGACTCAAAGGGAAGCGTGATATCGGAGGCAGCGTGCACGATGTTTACCTGCCTGCTCGGCGTGATTGGATTCTCATTTATGACGCGTGGTGGGGATGTATCCGGCTTTCCTCCTCAATCCCGTAAAAAAAAATATGATGTGCCGGGTTCAGATGAGATTTGAGGATTTGAAGCTGATATTGAGTTCCAGTTAAAGAGTAGCTTTTGAAAGAAAATTGGCTAGAAGTAATTCTGAATTGTTTTGCCTGCTTTAGAAGGGTTGTTCGGACCAGCGAATATAATAAGATGAATGAAAACCAGCTAGAATTGATGATTAATGAAATGAACAATTCCCATTTGTATGTTGCAGATCACATCTTAGGCATGCCATTGCGACTTTCCTTATCTTACTTCGCCCATTACATGGCATTTATACATTTTCTATCTTAATTGCTTGGCAGCTAACATCCATCTGTAGTTTTAGGTATCATTCAGTATAAATTCTGTTCTACTCTGTTAGAATTCATCTTTCGTCAATACCACATCTCACAATTTCCTATTTTCCTTTAAATCCTGTACGTACTAGTTTGGCCAGGGGGATTTGACCTCCCTGCAAGGTCGCTGACAGGTGGTTATCTCATCAAATCAGCTCTCAGTTAACATAAGAAAAAGGGGATCATGGGGGACCAACAGGCACCGATTAGGCACGGTTTGCTATATTGAGGGCGCAAGTAGCTATAAGTAGTGCAGTGGGGCTTTAACCCTTGATGCGTGCTTGCAACGAGATGGAAAGGGTTAACTGAAGTCCTGGCATGTCTCGGAGAATGTTCTCTAAAGCTCCTCGTGTTTCAAGTTATGGCTGGAGTGTTTGGGAAGGGATGATCTTCAGACTTCTGCAATGTTTGCAGTGCAGTGAAAACAATGCATTGTGAAAAGAAAAAGTGCAACTGAGGTGACGCCAAATATGTTACCACTCTGTATTTAGGTATTTTATTATCTTACTTTAGGAGAACATGTTATGCATTTGCGTCATAATTTCAAACTTTCATTTTAGAAATAGCTTAGTGATGTATATAACCTTATTTTGCTTTATTCTGGTAATTGAGAAGTTCATTTTTGTTCGTTTGCAGCCTCCAAGAGTCAATTGCAGCAGGGTATTTCAAGCAATTGTTTTTTATAAAGGCAACATTTCTGTATATCATTTGCAGGAGAGGGGGGAGGGGGAGGGGCAGGATTCTTGACTGGAATGGCAATCTTTTATCATTCAATAGAAAGATGATTTTAGCAGGGAAAAGAGAATGTTATTAAAATTGTTGCAACCGACTCTCAACATTAGCAAGGTTTCTTAGCAGAGCTGCCAAGACTACATGCCCCCAAATCAGTATTTTGTTTAGGAACTGCAAATTTCTCAAGTAGGAGTATAACAATACAGTTCCCTCTTTTCCTTAGAATCAATATTTGATCTAAAACCTTCAGTATTTTTCTAACATTTCAAAAATTCAGTAAGAAGTGCTGCATCAGTATGTAGTAAATCCCATGGCATGCAGCTTCGTGTTGGCATTTATGAAACATTTTCTGTAAGAGTATAAAGTAAATATATATTTTCATCAGTTGTAACTATAAGAAACAAAGATGAAATTGTAAGCTTGGCGCCATAATCAGAACCAGAAGTCATATACTTAATTAACACAGAAGTTATAAGATCCTTATGGCTCCAAACGGACAAATTTCTTCTAATTTAGGGGATTAAATGGCCGTTCCACTTACCGGAGTTCCTCCCACTGAGATGGCTACCTTGTTGCCACTGGATAGGACTTCAATCTCTAGTTCTTGAGGTATGGTGTCTAAGATATCTCTTCCTCCATCTTTGGTCTCCCGAGCATCACCCTTTTCAAGCGCCTCACCGTCTCCACCTGCAGCTAAAAGAGTAAAGGTCAAAGGTCATAGGTCAATTATTTATTTTCATAATTGATTTGACTGATAAGTTTGGTACTTCATGTCATAATTCTAGTAATTTATGCATATGAAAGGGAACTCAAAGCCTGCAAACAATGTGTGCAACAACTCCACCATACTGTCTGATTAATATCATGTATGGTTATTTGAATGGTTATTTGAGCAATGGCAAATTGAATTTTAACAGGTATGAACATTCTATCAGAAGGGGGGGGGGTATTATCTCTCTAGTGAGGTCATTACCTGGTCTCGCCAAAGAATGACACCTTTTTTTAACAGCTGATTTATAACAAAAAAAACATGTAGCATTCACAAAATAAATGAATTTCTGTCGGATGTAGAATTCTACTCATCTCTCCTCTTAATTTTAAGTATGTAGTGAATTTTAGCACACAAATGTAACATGATAGCCGCTGATCACCAACACTGCACGTATCATACCCACATGGTGATAATACATAAAACTTGCATGGCAGACAATTTAGCTCACAAAGGTTAAAAGAACGGCACACTCTGCCTCCCCTTTCCTCTGGAGAAAGAGAATTCTTTGAAAATTGAGCATATTGCTGTTAAATCAGGCACAGAATATGAGAAAAGAGATTCCCCAGTCATCCACGATGCTTTGAGGATGCTCCTGGGCAAAATCAGCATTCCAATCTCGCTATTTTGATGCTCTCTTTAATAAATTGCTCATATCTACCGTCTTTACGCCTCTGGGCCCGAGCGCGATATTGGCAACAAAGCAAGTCTTCTCATTTTGCCCTCAGTACAAAGGGACTAAATGAATGAAGAGATCGGGGGTAGGTGACTAAGATAGGGAGGTCATGTGACATATCATCCGCATGAGCACCTGAATGTGATGTTACCAAGCAATACAGTCAACTATGCATGTACATGTATGGCACAAGGAACACTTTCCTGTACTAAGATAAAGGAAGATGGAAGCTTGTATTTCCACCTTCATCTTCACTTCAACACTACAGCAAATTGACGCTATTAATGCTCTGCGAGTTGCCTTTGACAAGAACAATTTTTCATATTTTAAAGGTATAGACCACTTCTGGTCATGCAATTGCATTGTGAAAGAAATGTTGTGGAATCAATCAGAAAAGGTTGATCATCTACTTTGGTGTGTACTGCAAGGTTCTAGAATCATCAAAATGATAAGAAATTTGGCCCAGTCTTGGTAAAGTTACAAGCACTGTTCACAGAAAGATGTATATTATGGGACATCGCGATATCTATCCAGGCCATATATCGATATGATAATCTACCAAATATATCAATTACATGTAGTAGGCAGTTTCCCATCAAAATTTGTATCATCACGTATTAGTAAAAACATATTCTTTCACATGATTGGTAACAAGAGCTTCCGTTTCATTTTTTGAGAGGGGGGGGGCGTTTCCAAAACTGGTCTATACCTTTAACTGAAGTGGAATAGGGCTTGATTTGGTATGTTGTTGGTTGGAAGAAAGATATGTATGCTTGCAAGTATCAAGCAACCAGGGGCCTGACAGCTTTGACCCCTCTATGAGGGTATCAAAGGGCACAAAAGCGTATCCACATGATTTTGAACCGGGGACCTCCCAGTTACTAGACCACTGCTCTACCACTGATCCATGGCCCATTTTGACAGAGCCCATTTTGACAGAGCCCATCTCAAAACAATGATACACTGTTAGCACTGTCCTGTCTTTGGACCTTTGACAAAAATCCAAGATCAGAGGTGAAAAGAAAACGCACAAAGATCAGACAGGTAAAGCTTTGTGAAAGACAGTGAAAGATATGTCAGCCTTCAAGCAAGGCGAGCTTTACTGTCAGTTATCATAGAGACAGTGTATCAATGGCCCTAGGTCTTGGATAAATTTAGTACCATAGATAGTTTCCAGATGTAAAGATGACGGAGAAGTAGATGGATTACTCTGAGTTAGGGCGCTTACTTCTTCGTAACTCTTGCTCCAGACAATCATAGAGATCTTGTGTAGAGCCTCTGAAGTACCAGATCAAGAAGTTTCTTGACCAGATCTTGCGTAGTACAGGCCCACATAGGGGTGATTGTCATGGAGGATTATGGTCAAAGGGGCAAGTCTTAATCCCCTCCCCATCCACCACGATATAACAAAGCATCTCTTTGAAATTTCTTAACCTTTATCACTGTCACTGAAATTCAAAATGTGACAAGCTGTAAATTACACAATGCTAGATGTAGCTGTGAACAAAATATGAATTCATAGCTTATTCAAACTGTCAGCCCAAATGATATACCTGTAGGCTATAGTCTCTGAAATAGTTAATAAAAACTAAATAAAATTGAAAAGGAAGCACCAGATTCGTCAACTACATTTAAATATCTCTCCCAGTTATGATGATTTTGCTTAGTGGACTCTTCGCACAAAGTTGGAACAGAAAGTAAAACATATATATTCCTGCCAAAGCTACTTGTCCAACATCTCACTAGCTTCACAAAATAAATGTTGCTTCAGAACCGTCATAAAACACCCCAAGAAAGTAAATTGGCGCTAATCATCATGCACATGGTAAAGATCAGAGTCAAGATTCTGGGGGGGGGGGGGGCTACGCCACTTGGAAACGATGTACACACCACCTGGTATCACAAAAACATTTACCCATTGATCTTGAGAGGTTTCTAAAGTCCACTTGATCCATCACTACCATTTTTCTTGGTAATCTGTCCAAACACAGACTGCTCCCCGGAACTCTAGATTTACAACTGGAGATGAGTTAGGTCACTTCTGGGTCAGTTTTTAGATGATTTAGGTCACTTCTGGATCTTTTGGGGGCCAGTTTGTTTCCCTAGAGCTACGGAATTCACAAACACGCAGATTTCTGTATTCCGGACATGTAATAGGATAGACACTTGAAAGAGAAGCACACACTTCTTAGAAAAGCCCTCTTGATAATCTATGTTATTCACTGTATTCGAGTGTAATGTATCCCCATGCTGTTGACTTGCCATGACCCTGGAACTTACTTCAGGCTTGATATTTTAAAACTGCAAGTCATGAAGGTCTAATGTTTTCATCAGAGATGTACCCCTGTTTCAAAGGTGACTTGCTCATCACATGATGTTGAAAACATTATATATCTACCAGTTGCACAGGGGAGTTCCAGTCCCCCAATAGTTTTTCATGTACCGTACTACCAAAAAAGTAACAAATATTTTCTCTTGTAATAATTTCACACATGGACTGCACCTGCACTTTAACCAGCCTTACAAAAGCAAAAACAACCAACAGAGAAAATAATTATAAAACATAACAAAACCCAAGAACAACATCTCAAGAAAGAGTACCCATTTTGTGCATCCATGTCAGCACATTAAGGAAATCTCCATATATGTTCCACTAAGAAATAATCTCAAGATTATGAGAATATCAAACAAACACTATAACCCCCTCTCCAATAAATAAAGGGTCTGCACCGAAAACTACTGAAGTAAGACAAGGAGGTATATATTATTATTTTGGCTTCTCCTCAAAGTCCAAGTCTCTGGGATATCACCCTGACTGACCATATTTAGCCATGATTCATTCATCTCCGAGGGCAATTTCAAGTGCTTCGGCCGCCGAAGACGGGTAGTAATTCGGAGGTCATGTTGATATTGACCTCCACCATACCATCGTCTTGACGATGCCCATGCTGGGGGAATAACCCAGACAGACCAAGATGTCAACTGTCCTCTTGACAACTGTTGTTTTGGATGAATTTCCTTCTTCATTTTTTTTTAAAGGGAGGGTCGATATATAGGCCACATCAAATCAGAGCTGTATATGCCTATATATGATTTAGCCTCGTTCACAACGTCTGTTTGGAGCCAAAATGACGTTAACTCATATTAACACAGAGTTACTGCCCTTCTACTTGCTAGCTCTTAACTCTTTATGCGCCACTTAAAAAAAACCCCTGTGCCACATTCTTTTAGGGTCACACATTTCGAGGGAATCTTTATTGACTCTGCTGAATCAAGAGGCTATAACTCTTCACTGGATGATCATGATGAAAAATATTGTGCAGCAAAGTTGTAGACCGGAAAACGTGCTTTTCGATGAACCGTCATTTGTTATATTTTGAATTATCATTTTTATAATAATCATAATTATATAATGTTTAATTTTTCTTATTTACGGCAGTTTTTTATCCCTCTAGAATTTCTTATTTAACAATGATAAGACATCTTCAAATCGAATCTATTAGAAAGGTGGACTTCTTACCTTTCTTTACATACCTTGCTCAAGTATTCTAACAATTCAGAAGGTTAGTATTTAGGTTGTTGAAGAAAAGAAGTTCAATAGGGAGAGACTTGAAAGTACCCCGCTCAGCCACCCTTGACAATGGGCTAATCTGCCCATTGAAATCCCTATTACCCCAGGTTATTGTCAATGTCCGGTTTAGCGGGGCATGAAAAGGGACGTCGTGGGGATGTTTTTCTTTGTTGTGCCATGATAAGTCAATAAGAAATAAGAGAATGTTATTGATTTTGCCCACTGGTATGAGCATGTAAAAATGGTATAGGCATAATATATTATATGTGATATACATGACATAATCAGCATCTTATTGAAATGTCTCATTATGAATGTTCACCGCATCTGTTCTCTCACCTTCTTTACCCCTCAATAAAATTGATTTCAAGTACATTTATCACAGCCATAGATATACAAAGAAAGAATGAATCAATCTTAAAATATAAACTATATTGCATTGTTTTCCATTTACTTTATTGTGAGAGAGCTTATTATCAGAAATGATTGACGAGTGGAGTATGCAATGAATAAAATATGGAGAACGGACGTGAGAGACATTATGAGAGAGAAATAGTGATATGAAATGAAAGGACTTTACTGTGAATAAAGATTATAAGAGAAAGAGATAAAGATGACGGCAAGACAGGATACATATTGATACGAAAATAACAATAATAATGAGATAGAGATGACGG